TTTTTTTTTTTGTCTTTTTGAGACAGGGTCTTGCTATGCAGTTCAGGCTGGCCTTGAGCTCACTTTGTAGCTCAGGTTGGTTTCGAACTCGCAACGATCCTCCTGCCTCAGCCTCCTGAGTGCTGGGATTACAGGTGTGCACCACCACGCCCAGCGGGAAAGAAATGAATTCTAATATTGTTTAAACTTAGAAAAATTGGCTGAGAGGCAATACCTCACAAGTCTGAAAAATTAGATGGCCCATACACTTCTGCAACAATTGTATCAAGCAGAGGCACATGAAGCCCATTCTTTGTGGGATTCTACTCTCCCCAGGACATGTGTACACCGCTGTATTTCCTGACCCTTTGTTGTTGGTGGGTTTCCAGGGCAACCATGACCAGTGCGTGTGAGGCAGCGTGTTGAGCACACGTGTGATACTCACCAAGAGGCATAGTGCAGTGCTCCGGGAGCAGCTGCAGGGCACGCTGCAGTCTTGCTGTGTCATGCACAAGTAGCAGCGTTTTCATATGGTCCAGAATGAGCACATCTGAGGGAGCCACGTGGTGAGACTCAAGACAACGGAGCAGCTCTTCAGCAGTTTCCACATGGACAGCTGAATCCGTGTCTTTGGAGACACCTGAAAGAAGTCAGCACCACTTAGAAATACAGTTTTGGTTTCATTTTCATAAGCTACAGATAGACTTTCATCTCCTAGAGAAGCCTCAGACATGCACTCCACTTAGAACGAGACCGCTGGGATACAAAACTTTGCTCCCAGGAGAGAGAATCAGAGACCTCTGACAGGAGAACAAGACAGCAGAATACCACTGTTTGAACAATGACCTCCTCTGCTTACAAATAAGTCTTTTTTTTTTAAGTCTGCCTTTTAAAACACCTTCCAAGTATGCCATGTGACTCAGAGTCATGGACAGCAGCAGGATAAACCTGACAATGAAACTAAATTTTCTACATTCATGTCATGTATCTTTCAAAAACAAAGCAAGACTGCCGAGGCATTTAGGATAAACAAAGGAAAACCAGGCAAGTAAACTCCTGGCTTCGCCTGTCCCTGCTGAAGGTCTAGGTACAGTACTGGCCTTGTAAAGACAAGTATTATTTCTTTGGCTACTTTTAAGATGTTACTACTGGTTTTCTACAGCTTAACTACAGTGCGCTTGGGTGTGGTGTTGTTTGTATTAACCTGGTTTAGTCCATGGAACTTGTGAAACCTGAGACTGTGTCTTCTATCATTTTGAACCTCCTCCCTCCATCATCTCTTTAGAAAGGATCCCTGCCCAGTCCCTCTCCTGCTCCTTGGACTCCAGTCCTGCAGGTATCAGACCTGCTCACTGTGCCTATTCAGCCAGGCTCTTTTCTTCACTTTCCACGTTTTTCTTTCCATCCTTGAGCCTGGGGGCTTTCTTTGAACTGTCTTCCAAGTTGCTAATTCTCTTTTATGCTGAATCTGATGTGCTGTTTAAGCTTATCTTCTGAGTTCTGAATTTCAGTTACTATAATTCTCAGGTCTAGAAATTCCATTTGATTGTCTGAATAGATTCCCATTTTTCATCTTTTTCAGTTATGGTAAGACTTCTGTCTGACAGCATCATTATCTTCTGCTCCCACGAATGCTTCCACTGGTCTCCTGGC